TACTCCTCCAAAATCTTCCTGTACCTATAAATATATGCAGGCCTAAATTTCTGCAAAATCTTGTAAACTCAATGAAGATATCTAATTTTTTATGAAATATATTACTCAAGTACAATAAACCATACTAACAGTGGGCTAACTCTGATAGGGTTACAAAATCTAGGCCAACAAGCTTGTGGAAAATTCCTTGAATATACTAGTAATCAATAATGTTTGTCCTGAAAATGGCAGAATTTGCATTTAGTGCAAGTTTTTAGGATTGTTGTCCCCTTAACCTGTTGGATCTGGATGTTTCACTGGCATCACATCACCCTAAATAGGGGCATCAGGCTTAATTTTCTGTGGTGTTAAGAGTTCAAGGGGCATCATGTTCCTGGCCTAGATGCCTCTTCCTCACCCAAGAGAATCTATTGCTGCTTTATCACAGACGAACTTATTGATGTCATTGTCTGGGGCACAAACAGGTAAATATTTTTCTTGCATCTGCCTAGTTTGTGCATACCTGCATATATTTCAATATGTATAAATAATTTCCTTCATTGTAAGCAATATTGTAGACCTTTTCTTCTATTTTCCAGTACAGTCTGTGATACATATCATGATGTAAATTCACATTGTTCTACACTCCTCCCCAGAGGGTATTGGTCAAGGAGCGTCTGTGGAAGTTCCAGGGGCGCTGGCAACACACACTCTATATACCCAATAAGTGCACATACTTTGGGGTAAAAGTCTACAAGCTCATAGTCAGGCAAGGTAAGTTGTCTTGAGATTCACCTGGTACCTTGGCTGCATATATGTGTGCACATAGGGTGCATTGCTAGTAATTTGAAATTTTTTCTTTCTTTTTTTCCAGGCCCAAGCTCCAGCTACATTAGTGCCCTCCAGATCTACATTAACCAGGACTACTGGGATATTCCTGCATCCTCAAAAATCATCATCAACTTGAGTGCTGTAGGCCTGTTTGGAAAGGGGTATGTGGTGCATACCAATAAATGGTACACCTCTCCTTGCCTTTTCCACTACCTGCAATGTCGGCATGTCAATGTGGCTAGCATGGTTTGTGTCAAACACAAGTATATGCCAAAAGAACTGCAGGAAAAGGCCCTGTTGTGCATTCAATAGTACAACAAGGGGCCCGTCACAACGCTGTTGTTGGTTCACATGACCGAGATGGTCACAATCACAGACTGACATGACCAACAGAAGCTGAAGCCTTGTGTTGTTGTTGAATGTAATGTCAGGATGAAGGGGGTAGACATGAGCGACCAGCTGGCTCAGTCATACCTGATCTCTCGCAAGTCTATCAAGTGGACTACTAAAGTCCTTTACAAACTTACTGAAATGGTAGTTGTCAATTCCTTCTTAGTGCACAAAGGCCTGGGTAGAATACTAACTCAGAAGGCCTTCAGAAGGGGTCTTGTTCAAGAGCCATGTGTGGGAAAGGGCCATCTGCAAGTGGGCACACTAAGTCCCCAAAAAGATGCCTGCACCTGGTCATCGCTATCAGCAGTACAATGTCTGCCATGAAGGGGGTGTGCATAGGGAGACCTGCACTATATGCAGGCATTGCAAAGTGGCATTGTGCCAGTTTGAAAGCATCCAGATATACCAAACTGTCAAAAAATATGCATGAAAATATCATGATGTTCTTTATTCCTATGCTGTTTAAGTTACTTGGACAGATAATATGAAGTGTAAACAACTAAAAGAATCTATTACTCTCTTAATATAGAATAAGTAAATGATAATTATCAAAATCCAAATAATTTGAAAATATATCAAAGCTAATGATAATAACACAATATTACCTGCTTTTCACAGAGGAGAAACACTACATGAGCAGTGAAGCACCCAGATCGAAGGGGTTATTAAGTTATTAAGCAAATAAAGTCTCCCGGCACCATCCGGGTCCCAATGATGCTGGAAAATTGACTGTAAACCTGGACTATGATATTAGTAAAAATTAACTGCTGTATATGCATGACTAGCTGCTCTTATATATTAGTAAAGTGGAAAAGAGAAAAACAAAAACACCTAACCTCTGTATACTCTTCATGGGAGAAGGAATAATCTGGATCCTTATAGCCAAGGCATCCTGGTACAGGTGCTGGGAAGCCATGGTCACACATGTCCTCAGCTCCCAAGAGCAAACTTCTTCTATCAAAATTATCATGAACTTGGAATTTTTTCCCATCTTCAAAATAAAAAGGTATATTGTCACATTCCTTCTTTCTAATTAACTCTTTACTGTTAACATTTGCAAGAGGAAACAGACTGGCAACAGCTTTATGTACTAGACCACGTCTTTCAGCCTGTTTCAAGTTCCTGTATCCTGTAAAACAAAAATAAAAAATACTCTAATAAGAAAGTCTGGATTTTAAATGTTTAGACTATATAGGGATCAATTAATTTTTCAGATAATAGGAAGATTCATGCCTGTGATATAAACCTTACTGAATTAAAATTGTACATATCAATTGCAGTCATACTTTTAACTAGTTTATTTTTTTTAGTATCTGAGAGAGGAACATTTAAAAGCTCTCTACAAGGTGGTTCAGAGTATTTTGAAGGTGCTAGCAATTCCAACTTCAGTTCCATGCACTTGCTAGCCCGTGGCAATGTTTCACACAACCAAACTGGGTCATTTTCAGAACTTGTTATCTCTTCATCCTTGTTAATTCTGCTATTCGATGCCTTTTGAAGGTCCATTATGCTTATTCCTTCCACAATCACTGTGATGATCTGTGACAGTCTGTGCCCATTTGTGATACAAGCCCACCTGAAATGATAAAACTGAGATAAACATAAATAGAAATATGTGGTTAATTTGAGACCTTTCTGGATAAAACTTAATTAGACAAAGGCATGAGAATATGGCTCTGTATTATGGGAACATAAAAATAGTCAAGGTAACCTACAAATTATAATGCATATACTTTTATGGGATTGTTAAGAATAAGTATATGGAAAATAAGTGAAACACTAAAGGGGAAACAAAGTCCTGGAAAACTCTGTTTATGTAGGAGATATAGGGAGATATGTATGACCATAAAACTAATGATTTTTAAAGTGATTTAACTGTACATAATATGCACAATGATTTTACAGAATGCTCAGGCATAATCAATGAGCATAAACTTTTATCCCAGAAAACAAAAAGGAACAATGACTACAAAGTTAAAATCATCAAGTTTCAGAGTCCCTGACCAATAGCACCATCAACACAATTAATCAATTAGGGACATGAGATTATCATTCCCAATAACAATATAAGAAAACATTTAATAACGTAAATTCACAGTGAACATCCTGTGCCCATCTGTTTTGGGTTAACCCCTTGTGTAACCAGTATTTTCTTATTGTGGAGTGGTAGGCAATGAGGCTCTCTGAAAAAGTCCTGACAGGAAGAAGCCATGCACCCCATATACCAATAGGTTGTTGTATGAACTGCCACTCTGTAGTAACACTGGCTCTGCTGGTAGTGACATGCTTGTCACTACCAGAGGAGGCCACTGCTAAGCAGAATCAAGGGGCTTCTAATATTGAATTGAGTAATGAGTGAAAATAAAGAGTAAGGAATGGGCACCCTTGTGTGTGGCCACATATGCTGCCAGAAGGCTCCTACTATGAAGCAAAGGGAAGCAAGGCTCTATGAATATGTCAAGGAAAAACAGCAGATTGCTGTATGAACCACTGCTACAAGAGAATAGTTCTTGAATATACATACTTTAACAACCAATCTTCACATACATACTTTTGTGTTTGTATGGGCATGGATTGTGTGTAGGTTTGGATGTAGTAGGTATAGATATGTATGGTAAAGGTAAAAAAACACATATACAAACATACATACTAGAAAGGGTAAAATGGCCTGATATCCCATATGTAAAGGCTTATACCCTGATAAAAACTGTGAGGAGTGACAAACACAGGATTTAGACAACAGAGGAAAGTAGATGCTTTTATCCATTGTTTTTGCTTAAATAAATGTGTTATAGAGATCTGTCTAAATAATGTTTCACTCAAGTGATTGAAGCTACTGCTTATATGCAAACTTTTGGATCAGATCTCAAGAAGAGAATTTTCATTTGACAATCAGATGATCTTTATATATAACTCTGTAATCAACGTAAATATAGTGTAAAGAGTCCTTATTCAGTATTACTCTAAAAAGACATTTACTTACCTTGCCACTTTATGAGTTTTGGTAATAGCATTCACCAGCATAGTTCTAACATCACTCATGAATATAGGGGTTCTGCTAGTGGAGTCCAATTTGAGGCTGCCATACTCTCCAGCTTCCTTCAATTTCATCTGTGGCACTTCCTTTCAAAAAAGGTAAAGGTAAATTAGATAAACAATATCAGTGGTACCCAATATATGATTTATGCAAGATGCATGGGGCTGTTCATAGTTTGAAGCATCCTTGATATCTATCTACATACACATGCATACAGGTGTGTTTGTGTAGGTGTATGTGTGTGTTTTTATGTGTTTTAACCCATTGCCACCGGGGATGGCATGTACGTACATGCCATGCCCACTGTGAGTCGACTTGTTTGATTGTTTTTACACATAGATGGCTACACTTGTCCTAAGTATCCAATCAGCCAATTACAAGTACTGCCTGTCTCGCCCGTTCACCCTTTTCATTGATTTACAAATATATTTAACGTTATCCTAAGTTGCTTTTAAAAATAACACCATCTATATTTATAGCACTAGTAAGAATACGTTTTTTCCCGCCAATGTAAGG